ACTACAGACAAGTACGCTGGCCCTCAGTCCTATTTATATCTCACCAGCGTTTGCAGTAGTGAATGGATGGGCGAGGTGGGACTAAACTCTGGAGCTTTGCTAGTGCACTGCCTGGTAGTTGTGGGTCAAGGCCTGCTACTTTCCTACGCGTGCATGCATGCACGTGGTCCACGGCCCGCTAGCGGTAGCCCAGAAATCCACCGGAGTAGCTTAGGCCATTCTTTTCATTTCCTTTTTTCCTTTGCAGTCTCTCTGTTCTGCTGTTATGTTCCTTTGCATTGGTTATTTACATTACTATTGCCTATGTATTATGCATGTTCCGATGAGTTGCACATTTAATGTGGTTATTTGCATTGATCTTCCCGATTTGAATTATCGATTCCCGCCCATTATTGACACGTTCCCGATCGAATAGTTTTGTTTCCGACATCCGTGTATCCGATTTCGTTTTCCCGACAAGCGTTTCCGCTCTCGTTCCCGTTTCCAAGAAAAAAAAATATAGTAACAAAAATGATTAGGGTGTTTTTCCGACCGTTCCCAACCGTTTTCATCCCTACTCATTTCCGTTGGAGGAGAGGTAGCCGCCCCGACGTGGTTGTTCGGGAGCGCCCGAGCGGAGTCGACTCTAATCCAGGTCGGGTGAAGGCTTGGACGGTGGTTAACTATCGTCATCAAGAAGTTAGGGTGGACCGGTGCTGGAGGAGGAGGAAATACAACGAGGACCGTATCGGTGATGTCGTCGCTCGAAGTCCCTGCATGTGACTGCGAGACGAGGTGAAGCGGGGCTCGCTGATAGCCGGTGGCACATGAGTTGGTGAGCGGCTCTAGGTCCTCCTTAGGTCCTCCGTGGCTGGGGGCAGAGTTGGCGTTGCGTTAAATTTGGTATACTTCTAGCTTGTTTCAGCTTATTCTCTCTCACAGAACACTATTGAATCATTTACAACCATCTGAAATTCACTGTTCACTACACCAGCCGAACACAGTCTGACGAACCAATCAAAGATTCTGCTTCTGGAAGACTGGAACAGCAGCGACGCGGCTCCACGAGGCGGGCAACAAGCAAAGCCTCTTCGGCTGGTATTAAAGCCGGCTGACAAGCCGGCCTTAGCTGATTTATTATGAGAGAAAAATACTATAGATTCTAACTGATAAGCCAATCCCTAACTTCAAGCGAACAGAACCGCCGCCTTTCCGGCTGCCCCCGCGTGCAATCGCGGCTGGGGCCGTGACCGTCGGGCCGTGGAGGTGGTGGAGCGTGGACCGCTTGACGTTTCCCAGGCCAGCTGAGCTGAATGGTCCCGCCGTTGCTCGCGTGCTCCTTCCGTGGCAGGTCCACGGTCGCCGAGCGCTGACGAGACGTGCGGCAACAACGTGTGGAAGCTTCCATGGACACCCCCCCGGTTCTGGAAGGCCTGATGAGCCTGAACGCCAGTCAAAGTCGCCCCCCTTCTTGCTTTTGGTACCCCAGGAATGCGTCAGAGGAAAATTCTCAGCACAGTGACTTGTCAAAGGACCGTCGTGACTGTAACTCGTCGATCATCATGGATGGATTCATGATCTCGCCGTACCATCATACCGTTCCTGTCTCTGCTAGAGTTCCATTTCACACTGACAGTTGCCTTATCCACAAATTAGTAGAGTCCTGCTAATCCTCCGAAAAGATGTCTCGCGACTTCAGATCCAAACTGCAGCTGATCCGCGGAGAAAACGGACAAACCGCCGGCTGTTCCCGCAAGAAAATCCCGTGACCCCAGCCACGTTCTCTCCGCCCCACATCTCACAAACTCACCCGCCACCGCCAGATGTCGCTGACCGCTGGTGCCCCCAACCCTCGGCCAACCCATGCCATCTCGATACGGGCCCGCCAGAGGCCCGTCAGGGGACGCCGAAGCTGTCAGGTGGACCCTCGCACCGTTCCGCCTTCACCTCCCTCTCCTCCTCCTCCTCTATTAAAACCCCGGCTCCGGCGGGCGGGGCAGTGAACGGAGGTGGCCGCTCCTCTCCTCCCTGAGTTCCTTCCCCGTCGTGCTTCGAGTGGAGCCTGGTTCCGATCACAGGGGACTTGATCTGGTGCGGCTCCTCTGCAGTTTGATTGGTACGCATCGAGACGCCTTTCCTCTTTTGTTGATCGCGCACATGGCGTATTTGATCCGTTGTTGCTCGTTTCTCCTACCCTTGAGGAAGGGAACCCGTAGCCATTTCCGTGATCGGATCTTGAGCTCGCGAGAAAGATTCTTGTTCGGCTTGATTAGTTTCTTCCGCGCTGTTGTTTGGGAGTGATCTCTTCGAATTTACAAGGGGACAGAAAGAAAAACTTGTGATCATTTCTGTTCTGAATTGCTGTTCTTTGGCACCTAAGATAACTGATAATTCAGATTTAAGGAAAAAAACTATGAGGGTTACTTTTCATTCATTTTTGTTTGGTCGATTTTTGTGGCAACTTCTTGACTCGGATGTTGAAGAAATTAAGGAAACGCATTGCATTTTTTTCAGCTAGCCATATCTCTCTACTCAGATCCTTTACACAAGCAACAAAGCACAAGATTGTGAAGTTTCATCTCGGCGTTGTTGTTTTTCTCGTTTTACTGACCTGACCGAACTCTGTTACAGAGGGGCCATGGAAAACCCGGCGCCGCCGACCGATCCGGCCGCCGCCACGGGCGCCACGCCGTCGCCGTCGCCGTCGCGGCAGCTGCCGGACTTCCAGCAGTCGGTGCGGCTCAAGTACGTGAAGCTGGGGTACCATTACCTCATCACCCACGGCATGTACCTGCTGCTGACCCCGCTGATGGTGCTGGTCGCCGTGCACCTCTCCACGCTGTCCCCGCGCGACGTGGCCGACCTGTGGGCGCACCTCCGCCTCAACCTCATCTCCGTGGTGGCCTGCTCCACGCTGCTCGTCTTCCTGGGCACGGCCTACTTCCTCACCCGCCCGCGGCCCGTGTACCTGGTGGACTTCGCCTGCTACAAGCCGGGTCCCGAGCGGCGGTGCACGCGCGACACCTTCATGCGCTGCTCCAGGCTCACCGGCTGCTTCACGGACGCCAGCCTCGAGTTCCAGCGCAAGATCCTGGAGCGCTCGGGGCTCGGCGAGGACACGTACCTTCCCCCCGCCGTCACGCGGGTGCCGCCCAACCCGTCCATGGACGAGGCGCGCGCGGAGGCGCGGGAGGTGATGTTCGGCGCCGTGGACGAGCTGCTGGCCAAGACGGGCGTGAAGCCCAAGGACATCGGGATCCTGGTGGTGAACTGCAGCCTGTTCAACCCGACGCCGTCGCTGTCGGCCATGGTGGTGAACCACTACAAGCTGCGCGGGAACGTGGTGAGCTACAACCTCGGCGGGATGGGGTGCAGCGCGGGGTTGCTGTCCGTGGACCTCGCCAGGGACCTGCTGCAGACGCACCCGGGGTCGTACGCGCTGGTGATCAGCACGGAGAACATCACGCTCAACTGGTACTCGGGCAACGACCGCTCCAAGCTGGTGTCCAACTGCCTGTTCCGGATGGGCGGCGCGGCGGTGCTGCTCTCGAACCGGCGGTCCGACCGGCGGCGGGCCAAGTACGAGCTGGTGCACACGGTGCGCACGCACAAGGGCGCCGACGACCGGTGCTTCGGCTGCGTGACGCAGGAGGAGGACGGCGAGGGCGTCCTGGGCGTGTCGCTGTCCAGGGACCTGATGGCGGTGGCGGGCGACGCGCTCAAGACCAACATCACGACGCTGGGCCCGCTGGTGCTGCCGCTGTCGGAGCAGCTGCTGTTCATGGCCACGCTGGTCGCCAAGAAGGTGCTCAAGATGAAGAAGGTGAAGCCGTACATCCCGGACTTCAAGCTGGCCTTCGAGCACTTCTGCATCCACGCGGGGGGGCGCGCCGTGCTGGACGAGCTGGAGAGCAACCTGTCGCTCACGGACTGGCACATGGAGCCGTCGCGGATGACGCTGCACCGGTTCGGGAACACGTCCAGCAGCTCGCTCTGGTACGAGCTGGCCTACAGCGAGGCCAAGGGGAGGATCCGCCGGCGCCACCGCGTGTGGCAGATCGCGTTCGGGTCGGGGTTCAAGTGCAACAGCGCCGTGTGGAGGGCGCTCCGCTCGGTGAACCCGGCGGAGGAGACCAACCCGTGGATGGACGAGATCGACAGGTTCCCCGTGGATGTTCCCAAGGTCTCCAAGGTTTCCAGCGAGTGAAATGCACCACCGATCGTGGTTAACGATAGTGCTTACTATTCCTTCGGAATTTGCAATTGTTTGGGTAAAGGATCTGGTGGAAATTTTCTTTAGTTTATATCACTAGGAAAGGCGATGATTTGACTTCTCCGAGTTCGGATTATACATAGCATTCGTGTTGTTTCTGTATGGCCCTCGGCCCCTGACCTATCTAGCAGTTGACAGTTCTGTGTTCTGACAATTCCACACTCTCTGATGTTTGATCTGAGCCTTTCTGCTCTTCGATACATCTCAACTCACTAGCTCCGTCTGATTTTAGCTTCATCTCATTTACCTGAACCAAACAAAGGACATGTCGCTGAGCATCTCAAAACTTTCAAACAGCACCATCGAAGGGGAAGCTTCAGTGTACAGTGCTTTGCTAGATCAATCAAAGGGACAGGCAGTTATGGCAATCCGTTTCGGTGTCGCGACCAGGCTAACAATCATCCTCGTGGGAGTGGATTACTCTTTAGCTGCACACGATTAATAACGAACTAAAAATGGTATATTTAACCTTAACCGCAAAAAACATAAAATCGTCTCTCTTTTTTTTACTCTTGTATATTCGTTCACCTCAGTGAGAGTACCCTCCAGACTTTGAGAAGTACAAGGAGGACCCCCAACAAAATTCCACCATTCACCTAGGTGCTGTTACAGGAAACCCAACCACAGAAGTCCAGTGCTTATACTTTTACAAGTTTACAACAACCGATTCTGGGAGGAACGAAGGGAAAGAGCATCCCACAAAAGTCTCCCAGCAAGCATGCATCCCTACCCCTCTGCCTGCACGTCCTTAGGAGTTAGGAATGTGGAAGCCTTCGATCTTGCGTGTGACATCATTTACCCCAACCTTTGTCTTCCCGTTTGCATTTGCTGCCTCCTGTTCGTCGCTGTTAGCTGGACCCAACTGCCAGATTCGGATGGTTCCATCTTCGGATCCTGATGCATAAGATTCACCAACTGGAGTAAACCGTACGCAGTGGACCGGACCATGGTGCCCCTTGTTACATGCTGTTTAGCAGAAAGCAACATAGCCGCAAGTTCAGTGAGGATAGTCAGGTGCATAGTTTTTTGGATAATAATAATAAATTACAATAACGACTGCAATGGAATGAATATTCGACTGTCATGTAATGAAAACAGAATGTTCTATAGCTTCTATAACATCCCTGACCCCTGAGCTACTTCAAATGAATGCTAATGATGTTTTGCAAAACAAAAGGAAAGAAAGAATGCTAATAACTTGAGATTCAAATCCACACAGAGAATGCTTGGAATGATCCCATAAGAAACAGAACACTTATGTCAACTAGCAATATTTGTTTAACCACAGCTGTGAGCCAGGCAGCCAGCCGAAACAAACTTATATAATACCAGAAACAACTTTAAAGAAAGGGTACCCTTAAAGAAATGGTACCATAAACAGACTTCGGAAGTTCAGGTCTACAAGCAACTGGCACTTATTAACTGGCACTTATTAAAAAAGAGAGGACCAAAGTGAATAGACAAGCAGAATATCAGCTACAATTTTGAATAAAGAGCCTACTGGCATGGGCCAAGACATGTCTCCCTTGAGAACTAAGTGGACTAGGCATCTCTAATCTCCAAAACCTTGGTTGGGCTCTCAGAATGCGCTGTGGCTGTGGTTACAAAAAAACTGACCCCGGTCGGCCGCGGTTGAAGTTTCCTATTCAAGTTCATCACTGTGTCCATGCTCTCTCCTCTATGGCAGTAACAACCAAGGTGGGAGGTGGGGTAAAAACTTTATTTTGGACCGATAGATGGATTCATGTCCAGAGGATAGCCAATCTTGCTCCTAGTGTGTTTAGATTGGCTCCCAAAAAGGACAGTGCTTGAGGCCCTCACTGGTCAGGTCTGGATTTCTGATATCCAAGGTGCATTGACTGTAATTGTGATTTCTGAATGTATACTGCTTTGGGATCTTCTTTCTGAGGTGGCCCTGCAACCTGGTGAGGAGTACTCAGATTTCACATTTCTCGGCTAATGGTCAGTACTCCACTAAGACAGCATACGAGGGTCTCTTCCGTGGGAAATGATTTGGAAATACTGGGCCCGGGCAAATCCCGCTTCATTTTGTGGCTAGTTGCCCATGGTAGATGTTGGACTGCTGTTCGTCTCGCACAAGAGACCTTCCAAATCCAGCCTAATGCCCACATTGTGATCAAGATGAAGAGATGATGAACCACCTTGTCCTGTGTGTGGGAATTCTGACTCAACATTTTGCAAATGGTCAGCTACTGATCCTTGCTTCGCAAGCTGCGGAGTTCTCCCTTGTTGATAGGTGGGAAAAAAATCTGTTGTTGGAGTTGATAACCTGATTCGGAAGGGACTTAACTCCCTCATCATTCTAGGGGTCGAAAACCTGATTCAGAAGGGACTTAACTCCCTCATCATTCTAGGGGCGGACCTTGTGGAACCACCACACCCATTGTGTGTTTAATGGGGTTTCTCCTAGCATAGCTAGAGCACTTCAGCTTGCTTGTGAAGAGCTACAGCTGTGGGGCCTGGAGGGATTTCGTACCTCCTTGTCCTTAAGCCAGATGTAAGTTCAATCTTAGGCCGAGGTCATGTACATCTTTTAAAGGCGTGCATGAAGAATTGGGACAGTGTGGTTGTGTGTTGTAAGTGTTCTTACCCCCGCCCCTTTTTATTTCTTCTTCTTAATAAAATGATGCGCAGCTCTGGCGCGTGTTCAAGAAAAAAATGAATAACAGACTAAGCGAAGAAGTAAAGATTCATCATATGGGGTCTAACATTAACCATAGTTCATTGCAGCCTTGCAAGTGACAATCTAATGTTACTAAAACAGGAAAAACTCTCGAGGGGGGGGGCTCTTGACAAGGCAAATTTGTTGCAGCAAGAATATTCTGAAACAAGTTGTAGGTATCATGACAAAGAACTATAGACAAACCTTGAAACTGAGAGACTTACCTAATTCTTCTCCACTGAAGAAATCGAAGACACGAACCCACATGTCTTCTCCACCAGTGACAAATTTATTCCCACACTTCGGTTCAAGAGAAGCTGACTCCACTGCACATGGCATATTATAGCTCTTAACAAGTCCAAAGCTGCAGAAAAACAAGATATATTATGTAAGCAACAAAGCCAACGCATCTCTCGGCATTGTCAAAGTAAGGTACAGAAATGTCTTACTGATTTGCATCCCAAAACTTCACGCTTGAGCCATCAGTTGTCGTGATAAACCGACCATCTTGGCTTACTTCTGCGCTGGTGACAGGTGATTTGGTTTCAAGTGTTTGGACAATTTTCCCACTCCTTACATCCCATAACCTATCAAGAGGCGGTACCAATCAAGAAGAACAAAAAAAAAATACATAACTTAAATTTAACACATGTTTTGACAAGGTACTTAAATACATAGTTCAGCTTAACATTATTTTAATTAGAGTTCTTCAAAAAAGTGCAAGGAAGTTTCTAGAAACCTGTAAAGGGTAAATAATCAATCTGATTACCTCATATTCCTATATCAAAATCATTGGATTCACAGATGTATATGTCCATATTGGTATTTGCATTGATATGTACGTGACACACTTTCGACAGTGACATACTTAAGGTGCAGACTTTGCAAGTAAAGAGACACAGAAGACAGAGATCAACATATGATTTCTAGGGAAATAGAGGAGCTTCTTCAGTGCAAGAATTTAATTATTATTTCAAAATTAAATGAATTCGTAAAAGTTGAATTCTGAATTATGTCTTTGTGTTCGCAGTTTAACAGGGCCCAACCCCAAATAACAGCCAACTCTGCCAGGCCCTATCAATAACAGTTCAGCATGCTTATTTTGTATATAAAATCAACTTCTACATAGCACATTGGCAATACTAATCTGGAGCTAAAAATAATGCAGTTAACAGTACATGCAGACAAACCTCACACCACCTAAATCCGTGCAGGAACTTAATATAGTTTGGTCACTATGAAACCAAGTGACAGTTCTGACAGAACCAGGTGATTTGTCAATTTCTCTTGGAGTTGCATCTGGGCGGTTCAAATCATATATACGCAAAATCTTCTCAAAACCTCCTGTAAGCAACATGTGGGTATCCTGCAAGAAACATTTGTGTTTTAGATGATATATAAATCTATGCATGCAGAAAACTCTCTGAGTTAAGTTTAAAATGATTTAATGGTTAAATTTCTAGAATTAGTCATAAGAAGGTTATGTTCAAGATTATCTTCAAGATGGACATTTCCAAATCCTATTTGATGAATAAGTTAACTGGGCTTGAGAAAATAAACCTTATACAGAATTTCAGACTAGACTAGCAAGTCATCTTGCTACAGTTCAGATTTCAGAATGTACACAACTGGACAAGTAGCTATACATAATAATGAAACTACATATTCTCCATGAAATACAAGAGGCATAATCGATCACCTTGTTAAATTAGAAAACTCCAACCTGAATCACATGAGAAGGTTGAATAAATAGAGTTAAATGGAAAGGAAAGTTTATGATAGCTTAGGAGATAAGAAAGAATTGAAATTCTACTGTTTCATCATAAACTAATAACTTTCTTAGACAATGCAAGGCTGTGGATCACTTCGAAGTATGATATCAACTAGAGCCACTTAAAAACTTGTGATGATCAGATAAGTGATGTTTACATCAGTAATTCAATAGGATGCTAATTTAAGGTCAATCGGTCAATCCAAAAATTGTAATAGAATATTAATAAACTTTCAGGTACAAATATACTGTTTTTAGACACTTCCTAGAGACCTAGACAAAGTTTGCATAAATCATCAATTCTAGGGATCCATGCAACCACACAAAAGTAATGGGTACAGACATTTTTGGCATTATTAATAACCAATATGATAAGCAGGCATCTAAAATTTACAACGCAAAATAATACAAATAATCACCATTACACTCAACCAATAAAAAATAAAGGAATGTGTTGCAGGTCACCAGTAAAAAAGAAAGAATTGATTGGAACAAGGCGACAAAAAGGGCAATAAAAGCAGCCAACAGAATTACATGACTACAGGAGAGGAACATTTATGATGCTTGAATATGGTAAGACTATAACCTCAGAAAAAGCACATGCACGGACAATATGCTTGTGTTCGAAGGAGTGGAGCACATCGCCTGTTAGTGCATCCCATATTTTTCTGAAAAAAAAAGAGATAATCAACACATATTCCCAAAAATGGAAACGGACAATCTAGAGTATCATGTGGAAACTGAGCGTATATGCCATTCATGTAAACAATCCCATGTCATTTTGACAGTTCATTTTTTTCATTCAGGTAGCTGGTGCAAAATCCATCCAGTTGACATATTATTCAAGATATAGAAGGGTTGGTTAACTTACATAGATTAGCATTTACACTTTCGACTTTTCTCCAAGTCAAATCATCCAGCACAAAGTTAATCTTGTGTTTCTTGGTAGCGTTTATTTCACATAGTTTGTATCATATTTGCTTTTCAGTAGCAATTAAGTACCAAATTCAAAGATAGATAGTAATTAACAAATGCAATGAAAAGTTAACCAAATCGAGTAACATACTGAAATCAAATCGGGAGCCCTCATTTATCTTGGTGCATTCTAACTCTTTAAACATCATGTATTATGAAAATTGAGAATAACCCTTGAAAAGAAAAGAAAAATGTGACTTATATTACAAAAATTCCCAGCCAAATTGAGATGCCTTTACAACATATAACATGCCAAAATTAATGTAGTAGTAAATAGCCAAATTGAGATAACACAAGAAAAAAAAAATACACCAGAGAATGGTAAACAGATGGTCAATTCAAATGATATGCAGCATCCTTCAGAGGGAATAATTACAGTAACACCAGGGGACTGTGTGAAATGAGAACCATACGCTGAAAAGTCAGCAGAACCAGATGCAGCACGCAGAGCATTGGTGTCAAGGCAAGCGCTCCATACAGCGCCTTTGTGGCCTTGAAATGTCCCAATCCAATCTCCAGTTTCACCATTGCGAAGCATTGGATTTGAATCTGCAAACAAAACCATGCTATCAATAACAGCGATGCAATAAGCAAGGAACACTATCCAACAATAGACGAAGCTCACACGGTGCAAATTGTAACTGATGACATTGCCCCTGTACCGTATAAATATGGACACGCCCTTCACCAGAATTTATGATATGATCCAGTAGAATTGAACTGCTGAATAAATAGTCAAATTTCTTGTGCCAACTAATAATGCTAAAAAATCTAATGATTGCTGTACAGTAAAAACTAAAGGAACTGACTATTTAGCTAAACCAAAGAGATACCTAAGATAATACTTCCAACAAGGAATCCAAATTTATGCATAAGCAGATCAAGTAATTAGGCTCAAAAGAACAGTTATATGGTCAACACTCAACAACTTAGTATCTGGTTCAGCTTAAGCCCTGAACATTACAACAGTTCCTCAGTTTTGCTATGTTAAAGAGAAATAACCCAAGTCACTTAAACACTGACTGCCATGGGATCGGAGGCAAACAAGAGGTGGTCTCATCTATCAGTGACTCAACAGCTTGTTTTGAACTTGAATGCACACAAAACGTGGAGGCAGCTAAATGCAATGAGCCAATGACAACTGAATAGCATAGCCAATTTATCAGGTATTGACAACTTGATGGTTCGATCTCACAATTCAAACAGCAATTGCTGGAAACTAATATAATAAAGCATCCACATGTAACAATCAATCGATATAGATCCAGATTCTGGACCAGGGTCTCTGTGACAGTTACATGCTTACCAAGATGAACATCAGTAGCAGCCGAATGCACATGACTACACAATCCACCAGTATCTACGAAATTAACTGCATTTTTCACCTTAGGAACCATCTATCTCAATCATTTTGCAATTCATATTCCACAATATAACTCACACACTCACTACCAATCTATAAATCAAGCAAAAGTGACGGGTTCAGCGATGGCGTACCTTTGCTAGCGCTGATGAGGAAGTAGCCGTCGGGCGTGACGGGGCTGTAGAAGAGGTCCACCACCGGGCGTGAGTGCCCATGGCACACCGTCGGCACCGCCACCTTCTTCTTGTCCATCCCTCCGCCTCTCGGCAATCCTTTCCTAACCTTAGCAGCTTCAACACCTCACCGCCACCGAGCACAACCTAAAACAGCGCGGTGCACTAGCCCTAGCCCTAGCCCGATTAAAAAAACGGAAAAATAAGGGTTAAATTGGGGTCCGTACCGGATTGGATGATCCGGATCTGTGGTTTGATTTGTTATTTGTACACAGAAATTGTGCCTGGTGTTGATGGTGGGATAATTACAGCGATGTGGTGGAGACCTACGGTGCGGGAATCTATCTAGTACTACTGTTCTAGGGGCCCGTTCGCTTGGACGAAACGACGAGCCGAAACAGCTGATTCTGTTTTGCTAAAAAACGAAAAACACATTATAAAAAAATGGATTATATATATATATATATATATTAGTGTGATGTGAAATAGATAAACACAGAAGAGATATTTTTATTTTTAGGGCATGTCAGAGACTACTTTTTATTCTCCATTTTAATCAAATAGAAGAAACTACTGGATGGATTTTTAATCTCTAGTTCACTAATCTTTGAAGAGAGATTTTTTAGACTAATGAACCAACTTTACATCTTTTATCCTTACCTCTCTCTCCTCCCTCACCTGTGTTTAAAGGAAGAAGAATGATATTTTAGTTTTTGTTCAGCCCTTTAATCTTTTTTAGTTTTTGAAACCAAATATGTTATTTAGTCTCTCTTCTAGTTCTCTTTTAATCTCAAGTCTCTAGTCCCGAAACCAAACATGGACTAAAAGAGAAACTAAATTTTTAGGGCATGTCAGAGACTACTTTTTATTCTCCATTTTAATCAAATAGAAGGAACTACTGGATGGATTTTTAATCTCTAGCTCACTAATCTTTGAAGAGAGATTTTTTTAGACTAATGGACCAACTTTACATCTTTTATCCTTCCCTCTCTCTCCTCCCTCACATGTGTCTAAAGGAAGAAGAATGATATTTTAGTCTTTGTTCAGTCCTTTAGTCTCTTTTAGTTTCTGAAACCAAACATGTTATTTAGTCTCTCTTCTAGTTCTCTTCTAGTCTCTAATCTCTAGTCCCTGAAACCAAACAGGGACTAAAAGAGGGAGTAAATAACATATTTGGTTTTAGAGACTAAAAAGGACTAAAGGGCTGAACAAAGACTAAAATATCATTCTTCTTCCTTTGGATAGAGGTGAGGAAGGAGAGAGAGGGAGGGATAAAGGCTGTAAAGTTGATCCATTAATCTTAAAAAACCTCTTCCAAAGGTCTAGTGGTCTATAGATTAAAAGTCACTCTAATAATCCCTTCTATTTAGTTAAAAGGAATTAAAAGGAACTAAAAAATAGCCTTTAGTCTTTAGTCTCATGAAACCAAACAGACGCTCAATTCTCTTTTAGTCTTCAGTTTATAGTCCCTGAAACAAACAGGGCCTTCGTTAAAAACCTCAAACGGCTGTTGCAGTGCAATTGGGAGCGGGAGTCGGTGTGGCCGGCTCCGCCAGTGGCACTCGTTTACACAGAAATTATTTTCATTCCTTATTTTATTTATTTAGACGGACAGGAAGCCTTTTTAAGTGGTAACAGAAACTGTTTCCCACGAACATTAAAAAGTGTACTATATATAATATATATAAACAATTCTTCAATTATGTTTTCACGGGCAAATTCTTCAATTGTTTTTTTCCGATTTTTCCTGTCGGGTTTTTGTTTTCCGATTTTTTCACCCTCAAGTTCTTTTGTTCTGCGATATTTTTTCCCACCAGCAAGCTTGGTTTTTTTTGTTTTCTATAATTTTTTTCCAATCCATTTTTTGTTTTCTGTTTTTTTCCACCGGTTGGGTTTTCTGATTTTAACCTTTTAAATAAGAATATAATGTTCCACCAGCATGTTAAGACCAATTCTAAGAGACACTTTGTATCTTCATAATGGTTAGAAATTGAAGTTTTGGTGAAAAAATACCCAGCAACAACTTGTTTAATTGGTTATCCAAGTATAAGTATCATTTTTTTATTTTTCGCTAGTTAAAGATAGAGAACGATGCTAGCTCTCTAGAGTGCCCACATTTTGATGAGTAAGAAAGTTATAGAAAGTTTTTATTCAATGGATCTCTAAATGATGATTTAAAAAGTGAGTCTTAGAAAGACTATTAGAGAAGCTCTATGAAGCGAAGGTTTATTTAAATTTTGGTCCAATGCACTCTGCTTTTCATAGCGTAAGTGTTCTGGCCAGTATTACTTAAAATAGTATTACATGATAAATTAGAAATTAAAATCTTAATTTGTTCATTATCCTATTTATATTTAAGCTCATGACCTATATTCATGTGAATTAAAATAAGGCACGTCTCACGATACTAACAAATGATACGTGATTTATGGTGTGTTTGGTTTGTGGAGTCACCCCATGCTTCATAAGGTGATGCATCATGAGTTCATCATATGAATTTTGGTGGAATCAACACATTCCTCGTGCATATACTAATTATTAGCTTACGAGAAATGAGGTGATGATGGATCAACTCATTCCATTTCACAAATCAAATATAAAAAGTGAGTGATAAGAAGATGATGGATCACCTTATTCTTCAAACCAAACACACCCTTAAATTCAGTTGTATATTGTAGTGTTTGTACAAGTTTGCTGATATATAATATATAGATAGTAAATATCATAATAGATAGAATATAGATCAGATAAATAAGAAGTCGGCTTAGAGCATCTTCAAGAGTACCTCATTTTTTTCTCCCCAAATCATGTAGTTTTGCAACTCCCCAAAAGGTATTGGGAGGAAAAAATAAGACCATCTTCAAAAGTTTTCAATAAATGACTTCAAAAAAAATCAAAATTTGGTTCCACCTGAGTTTTCTTTACGGTATTTTTTTTCGAGCGAAAGTCATCGTGATCGTGCAATCCTAGGCCGCCGCCGCCTCCTTCCTTCGTCGAACGTGCGCAGACAATCTGCCGGTGGGTAGCATTGTAGTATAGGCAATCTGCTAGATCGGATCATATCGCTCCAATCCATGAGTGCAACAGAGGCGCAGCATGGCAGCCTCATGAATTGTACGCATACAACCTCTGATCTCCATGCACCATGGATCATGACGAAGGATTCATCGATCGATCGTCAGGCGTTGTGGTTCCGAATGCCACCACCAGCACCGGCCGCAAGGAGACCCTCGCGGTCACGGTCGCTGCCGGAGACGACGGCCGCGGCGTCCCTGGCGACGCGCGCCCTCTCCTCACTCTTGCCCAAGAGCACGAGGAAGAGGCCGGCGATGACGAGCACGGTGCCGATGATGCTGCCCAGGTAGAACTTGTCGTCCAGGGTGAGCGACGCCATGATGGCCACCACCAGCGTCTGCACGGGTTGGTATACCGCCATGAACACCGGGCCCCTGTGGCGTCGCGGGGAAGTCCGGATCCGCGCGACTTGCATGCGCACATTTTTACGCGTGGAGGAGGCCGGTTTGTCAAGTGCCAAAAGATGGGGAAGAGATATAGGGTACTCTTGAGATGAGTTTTTCTCTTTTTTTCCCAAAAATAGATAGAAAAGGGATACGGAGAACTGTGCTGAGTTCGAGTCGACGTTGTCAACTTAGACCCTTTCTTCACATGTTGGTTTCAGCTCGTTAGTTTATTAGTTTCAATCAGAACTTATGAGTATAAATAGTATTTTTCTCTCGAAACAAACCGGCGTCAAACTGTGCGAACAGCGTGAGTGAGTTGATAAGCCCAGCAGACAGAGAGAGGTGTTTCGGAGTCGGGGGCTGACCGCCTCTATTTACCGAGGCGCCGAAACAAACAATTCTGCCCTGACCGCCAGACCCAAGCCAACAACAACAGGCAAGCCCACTTCAGCTTCCGGGTCGACCTTTCTTCCAACGCAAGAAGAACCCCCCACCCCGAACGCGACCTACCCGAGCCGGCGAATATGGCGACGGTGGCGATGGACATCTCGAAGCCCACGCCGGCGGCGTCCGGCGACGAGGCCGCGGCGGCCGCGAAGGGGAGGAGCGGCGGTGGGGGAGAGGGGCTGCGGCAGTACTACCTGCAGCACATCCACGACCTGCAGCTCCAGATCCGGCAGAAGACCCACAACCTCAACCGCCTCGAGGCCCAGCGCAACGACCTCAACTCCCGAGGTGACATCTCTTCTTGGTTATTACGCCCCCACAAAACCTAGAGTCGATGTGCCCCTCCCGCAAACGCGGTTTCGTGTGGTGATGATTCCTCGATCGCGTTGATGGAAACCCTACCTGTAGCTGGGTGTGAATCGTGGCCAAAGGCACGGGCTTTAGTTGCTTTAGTTGGGTTTCGACGCCCGGTTGTTCGTCAAGCTGAAGTTTCTTAGCCAAATTATCTGATCTGATGAAGATGGCTTGTTAATTACTAATCAGTGTGTTAGATTGACTGAAGAATAGCTCCAATTGAATATGCTTTAGATATTTAGCTGCTTGAGCAGCAGGATGACTTGGACTTTTCAGTTTGAATTGTGGATGGTAGTGCCATAGTGGTAACTGTTGTTTTGCTGTGTTTGGGCCTTGATTTTGGGAGTGAATTATGCATATAAGATGTGTATGCTATCTGTTGCTTGTCAGTGTTTGCGTATGTTGTCTTTCACTTTTGTTCTACCACATTCTTTTGGGGTTGTTAGGATAATATATTTCAATCAGGTTTCTGTATTCCTGAGGTTATCCATTATTATTCAATGCCTTCGTTTCTTTGACATGATTGTGGTATTGTGGCTGCCTATTGTGTGACATTCTAACAGAAATCATAAACTAAATTCGCCTCTAGCTGAACATTTCCAATGTGAAATTATCTTGACGCCCTGCGTCCCCATTACCTAGTGGAGTAATATTCACTCGCATGATTGCACCATGATGCTTTTTTGTTTATAGGATTTACTAAATTCCTTCTGTCTCTGTTTCAGGAGCAGCACATCCTCCTACATGTATTGTTTTCTGATTACTGTACTCTAAATTTGGCCTTGCAATTTTGATTTTTCAGTTAGAATGCTCAGGGAAGAGCTGCAGTTGCTTCAAGAGCCTGGCTCGTATGTTGGTGAGGTGGTGAAGGTCATGGGGAAATCAAAGGTTCTGGTGAAGGTAATTTTTTTGCCTACTCTACAGTCAGTACTTCATATGAATATCATTTTCTGCTTAAAAGTATTGATTCTTGCTGTTATATAAAACAAAGCTCTAATGAGATTTTATCCTCCATTTAACACCTATAAGTGAGCCTATAGGAATATGTCTTTGTTTTTAAAGATAAGTTCATCTGTGGAAATTGTGACTCTTGTATTTTACAAAGAACAAATATTCATCACCTTGACTGCATTATGAATCCATGGAACTATGCTTACAAAGAACAAATATTCAGCACTGGACTGCATTATATAGATCCATGTTCCCACCACATATTTAGAACAACTAAACAAGTAAAAGAATTATTTGGCCATGGTAATACAAAGTATCTTAGATGCCTTGTACAAATTAGCACCAGCCTTCACATTTTTCTATCTTGGCTGTCACATTGTCGGTATATGTCTACTGACAAACACGCACAGATCTAGTGGTTGGGTGGGTGGGACTTAACCCCCCCCCCCCAAATTCTGCGATAGTGGAGGCCCTCCTAATTTTTCGAAACATGTAACAGATCAAAGAGGGGTTGTAGAGTTTGAAGATGATTTGGGCCCCCTCTTTTTTAGATTTCTATAGGTCTGCCACTGCTGACAAATAATCCTTAAGTAGCATATACTGCATATGCAGTCCAGTTTGTGTAAACTATGTTTTATGGATCCCAGTACCAATTGAAATTCTGTATTTTCTTGCAACTCTGCATATTAGAAAATGTTTTTGAACACCTGATATAAGTTTTTTTTTTTCAATATGGAGAAGAGTTCCCTGACATTGTTTTGTGAATACATGTTTAAAGCTGTAACTGATTTGGATGTGGCAGTTTTTTGTAATTCAATATCTTGTTATTATTGGATTCCTTGTCTGAGAGCTCTCAATGGGAGTTCTAACTTCCTGGTTATCAAAGTGATATTAACTTTCTAAATGAAATTGCTCAGGTACATCCTGAAGGCAAATATGTGGTGGATCTAGATAAGAGCATTGATATCACAAAGATCACACCTTCAACAAGAGTTGCTCTTCGGAATGACAGCTATATGCTCCATCTGATCCTACCAAGCAAAGTTGATCCATTGGTCAATCTCATGAAAGTTGAGAAGGTTCCTGATTCTACTTATGATATGATTGGAGGCCTTGACCAGCAAATTAAAGAGATCAAAGAGGTTTGTTTTGAACTAAAATGTGTTATCATCAAAATATGCACATTCTGATTTGTGAAGTCAACTTTCAGGTCATCGAGCTTCCAATCAAACATCCGGAGCTGTTTGAGAGCCTTGGAATTGCCCAACCAAAGGTTTGTTTTCTCCCCTGAAGACCATCTTAACTTATTTGAACTTTACATGTAGCTGGAAAAGACTGAGATCTTATTTATTTTTCAGGGTGTCCTCCTTTATGGACCTCCGGGTACAGGAAAGACATTGCTGGCACGTGCGGTTGCTCATCACACTGACTGCACCTTCATTAGGGTGTCTGGTTCTGAGTTGGTTCAGAAGTATATTGGTGAGGGCTCCCGGATGGTTCGGGAACTCTTTGTTATGGCCAGGTAGGCTGAGCTCCACATTTCTTTTCTTGTTGTACCTGAATCATTAGTTGTTTGTGAGCATAATTTTGCATATACATATTCTGTTATTATCTTTAATTGTGGGCTTAGTTATCTGGTTAACTTATTGCAGGGAACATGCACCATCCATTATATTTATGGATGAAATTGACTCTATCGGATCTGCTAGAATGGAGTCTGGAACTGGCAACGGTGATAGTGAAGTGCAGCGTACCATGCTTGAACTTCTAAACCAGCTTGATGGTTTTGAAGCATCAAACAAAATTAAGGTGCGCATCACTTGTGTTCCTGTGTGCTGAATTAGTGATTTGTAAATGTATATAATTGTGATGTGATGTTTTAAATATTTAATGCAGGTTTTGATGGCAACGAACAGAATAGACATCTTGGATCAAGCCCTTCTGAGGCCTGGCCGCATAGACAGGAAGATTGAATTTCCAAATCCTAATGAGGATGTATGTTCGGCTAACTCGTCCTGTTATACCCATTGATTTTACATGGCTACTCCTGCTGACAGGGTGCTTAATCTTTTGCCCTTGCAGTCACGTTTCGATATCTTGAAGATTCATTCAAGAAAAATGAACTTGATGCGTGGTATTGATCTGAAGAAGATCGCGGAAAAGATGAATGGGGCCTCAGGAGCTGAGCTCAAGGTTTGTTAAATCCACTTCATCTGATGAACTGTGTGCTGCCTCTTATTTCAATTTTGTGATGTTTGCTTGTTTGTCCATCCATTCAAGCAGAAAGTTATGCTCTCGCATCTTTTTAGTCACAACTCGCAATAATGCTCATGATTATAGAGTCGAGAGTTCAGAAAGCTTGCTCATATAGCAATCTCTAGCTGATACATCTTGGACCTCAGCACATTATTCGCATCAAGTTCTATTCCATTTTTGCCCACGTAGTTACATCACCATCAGTATAAGATCAAGATTTAGGATTTAAAGCCTAGAGAAGTTAGTTAGCTATAAGTGGTCTTAGTTGAGCTTTTTATATGGTAAGTACTGAAATTCATCACACTCATTAATGACCAAACTACCATGTTGGGGCATTGAGATGTTTGCACTACAATAATCAGGTCTGCTGAAAATTGAGGCAGAAAATTCTGTTTATTACAACCTTAGATAGATAGATAGATCTATTCTTGTCATAAGGCACTTCGTGGCCTTTTCTCGGCACTTCGTGGCCTTTTCTCGACCCTGTGAAAGAGAACCTTCTTATTTACTTATTTATATTTATTTGTTTAGCAATTTTGTTTGTACTATCATTTTTTTAGAATTTCTTGTTTTAACTGGGATTTCAATGCTTATGTGAATATGTGATCTTATAGTTTCTACGTGCATAGCTTTGTGTTTTGGTGCCTCGTTGTTGCTATTTTCTTGATAGACCTTGTGTTGATTCGAAGTAACTCAGACTGTTTTTTTCCTTCCATTTTTTGTTGTTCAGGCCGTCTGCACAGAGGCCGGGATGTTTGCTCTCCGCGAGAGAAGGGTGCACGTTACCCAGGAGGACTTCGAGATGGCAGTGGCCAAGGTGATGAAGAAAGACACGGAGAAGAACATGTCCCTGCGCAAGCTCTGGAAGTGAGGCTCATCATGCCTTGTTGTACCCACCATTCACGGCCTCCCTGAAGCTAGTGCCTTCATATTCTTATTATATCTTTTATCACCTTTGCCAAAGCAGTGGAATGGTGTAACGGCATGCTCTGGACCTTTGCGATGTGCTCTTAAGTTATGCCGTGCATGCCTATGTTTAAAGTTTTCCTTGTAACGGATGTAGTATGTTGTTGCAAAGTTGAATTTTATCAGATCAGCTAGATTACGGTACTAATGCATTGCTAGCTCGCGATGATGAACACTGCATAATGGTTTGCAGTTCCTACTTGGTTTGCGGTGTTTGCAGTTTGCCAACCCAATCGTAATGAACACTGCATAATGGTTACTGCTCTGAGTATCGATGTTCTACTTGATTGTCCATGCGATGTTCTGTGTCTTTGGAGGCAATTGATCCCATGTTTTCGTGTGTAGCATGTTTTCACGTTGTTAGAGCAACTCCTAGCCTAAGGGCTCTTTAATTCAACACCCAAAAATCTTTCTAAGAAAGGGTAAAACCTGTCCTCAAATAGTTTCCTATCTGAATTCCCTCAACATCCATGCTTGCTTGTAAATCTGTCTCGTGTTCATATTTACAAATCCCCCGCGTTCACTCGCTCTATCTGCTGGTCTGCCTTGATTTTTCTGTCTCACGCTAGTTTTTCCTGAACTTTCTATTTCTCCGCCGCTTTGCTGCCTCTGCCCACCGTAGGCACACTGCCTGGCCGTGCCTAGCCGCATTTTTATTAGTAACTGTTGGCGGAAGATAAATAAATTGCTCTCTGCTCATTTTAGCCACTTAGAAAAATGTTTCTTAAGAACTTGGAGATGCCGTTTGCAGCAGAATTTAGTGCTTGCAACTTTGCCGTGCTGGTCGGGTTTGATTCCCTAGATCACTGTGCAATAAGACCATCAGAAGCTTACTTGAAATCAGATTGGTCTCCATCAAACGTCAGTGGGCGGCAGCGGCTAGCTCGGCTCTGAACCTTATGTGACGCACGTTCCTTCTGAACAGAAACAAAGGCACAAGTATCTACTAACATGTGTTTTTCAGAAAGAACTGATTAGATGTTAAATTCGGGATGGACAAAGGGCACAAGTACTACTAGCATTTGTTTTTGAGAAGGGGATAAGTACTGTCATGACACAAGTACTACCCACACAAGTGCATAGCAGAGAGAGTGAAGCGTTGATTATTGGGCGGAACGCAATGCATTCATGCGTACACACAGCTCCCGTGACTGTGACCATAAAAAACCAGGCAAGCCCTTGACGCACACAGAAGAGAGTGTGGAGACAACACAGATTCAGGTTCTGGAAGAGGCTAGATGCAGCGTCTCATGCATGCATGTCCAAGACCGGGATTTCATCCTCCTACCATCTTCATTCAGACCGCCTTTACTCCTCTGCCTTGAACATGCAGCACAGAGACGAACAAAATCCCAACGGACATTCTTTGGGAGGGTTTCTTTCCCCGCTCCCTACCACAATACCGGAGAGGAGCCAGAGAGCCCAGTAAAATCAGTTTTTTCTGGTTTCACCTGCGAGCATATATATAGGTTGTGTTTCAAAGAAAAAAAAAAAAAGCTGTGTAGGCACACAGTCCATTCTTCATAAAAACTGAGCACACATACAATAGCTTAAAAGCTAAAGAAGAGGTCATAAAATAGGAGAGCTGTCGGTGTGGCACTGATGATCCAAAACGAAATGGAACCGTTTCCATCCGACTGGATCAACTTATTGAAACCTAAATCGGGTAGCGGGTACTTATTGGAACCTAAAGCTGGAGAGACACATGCCCACATGAGCATTGAGCACAAGCCTTGGCGTAGCTCCACCTCCACATGCAATTGCACATGCGAGTGCCTGCCATCTGCTGCCCTGCTGCCTCCGCCCTCCTTTCGATCAGCTCCAGCCTCCACGGGCACATGATCGATCACCCGATAAGCCAGCGCAGGCGCGGTCACATGCCGGAATCGCATCCCGGGGTCCGGGGCCGCCCCCCCTGCGATCTGCGTGCATGTCTTGCCGACCTGTGCAGATATGCACTGCATGAGCAATCCGCGATTACTACAGGTAAATTTCAGTCCATGATATGGTCGGTGGATGCAAGGAAGATAGAACAAAGGTCTTTGGCATCGTCAGTCCCTCACATGGATTGGAGTGCCCATTATTGGCCATATAGGCAAAACTGCCACTTCCACGGGTTCAGAGATCGAGCGAGCAAACTAATCACAGAAAGGCTCAGATTGTCTGCTGCGCTGCTTTTTGATCTGCAGACCGCAGGCTTTGTATATCATCCACAAGACAACAACAATGTAGTATTGTAGTTAGCACTTGTAAAGATCGGTGCTTGAGTCTCGACTCTTGGCGACTTGACCATACCCGCGATGTTAAAGGCCACACTTCTCACTGAAAACTGAATTGCGAAGCAGAACTCACGACGTTGTTGATCTGCACTGTTACAGTAGAAACTGTCCCAAATTGAGAACACCTGTACATCAGTTTTAGCATGAATACCGACGGTACCTAGCTAAATTCAGTAAAAGCCTCACCATGAATGATGATCTGTCCAAAAAAAGCCACAAATTAAAGGCATACCGATAAGGCAAGGTCTTCTTCACTTTGAAGATCTCATCTTATGCCAGTCACTCATGAAGCTATTTCGCTTCAGATCTACCTATCTAAAGCCTGACACCTCCTATAATGTCCGAAAGATCTGCATACTTCCGGGCCTGTTTGGTTCGAGGGACTAGTTGTTTGGACACGAAACTGAACCGAAAAAATGGGCAATACCGACACTCCGATTTTTTCTGACGGTTTGTCACTGACTCACATCATCTCAAACTATAGCTTTAGCTTTAGGAGAGTGATCCAAAGAAAAAACAATTCAGAACTATAAGGTGGAATCTTGGTCCATATTACAGGCTGAGCCCTGCAAATTGATTGCATTTTGTTTCAGCAATAAGAAGCGTTACTGATTGATCTCGAACATGGACTCATGTTCTTGACTCTGCCAGATCATGAAGACCGCACGTTGCAGGTTCTGACATAGTATAACTGAACCTTGCAGAGGTAACGCCTCAGTGGCAGAACGGTTAAGCTCTCCCAAATCGAGGTGCACTCCCGGAGGTCGCCTCCCACTCCATTTAAGCACCGCGCCCTCCTCACTCCACCTCAGGCCACATTGATCGATCGATCGATCAGAAATTCAGAGCAACACGATTCGTAGTTCAGAGTCTGTTCGTCTCTTTAGATCGAGAGCAAATTGGAGCAAGATGGGAAGGTTAGCCATCGCTGTGCCGGTGATGCTTCTGCTGCTGTGCGCAACGTGCAGACTGACGCTCGGAATCACTGATGGTAACGTGGTTGATTTTGATTCACTGTCGTTGTTCAGTTTCTTGGCGCCATCTCTCATTGATTTTTCTGCCATGGAAATGGAATGCAGGTCTGCTCCCGAACGGCAACTTCGAGCGGGGGCCGGCGCCGTCGCAGCTGCGTGGGACGCGGGTGGTGGGCGCGTCGGCGATCCCGTCGTGGAAGACGTCGGGGTTCGTGGAGTACATCCCGTCGGGGCAGAAGCAGGGGGACATGGTGCTGGTGGTGCCTGAGGGCGCCTACGCCGTGCGGCTCGGCAACGAGGCGTCCATCCGGCAGCGGCTCCGGGGCGCCGCCCGCGGCGCGCGCTACTCGCTCACGTTCAGCGCGGCGCGGACGTGCGCGCAGGCGGAGCAGCTGAACGTGTCGGCGTCGGGGCAGTCGAGCCTGCTGGCCATGCAGACCATGTACAGCAGCAACGGCTGGGACTCGTACGCCTGGGCCTGGGTCGCCGACGCCGACGAGGTGGAGGTCGTCATCCACAACCCCGGCGTCACCGAGGACCCCGCCTGCGGTCCGCTCATCGACTCCGTCGCCATCAAGACGCTCAACCGCCTCGCCGCACCAACAGTAAGCATGCTTGCACCCACCCTGAGCTGCCGCGCTGCATCGTCATCGATCAGGCGTGCCGGCCCGGCCGGCGGTGGCCTGACCTGACACGACGGTCGACGAGTCCTTAATTTTGTATGCCTGATTGCAGAGAACCTGGTGAAGAACGGCGACTTCGAGGAGGGCCCGTACATCATCCCGGGGACCAAGTGGGGCGTGCTGATCCCGTCGCGGGTGGTGGACGACCACTCGCCGCTTCCCGGGTGGATGGTGGAGTCGCTCAAGGCCATCAAGTACATCGACGGCGACAGCTTCGCGGTGCCCCGGGGGCGGCGCGCCGTGGAGCTGCTGGCTGGGAGAGAGAGCGCCATCGCGCAGGTGATCCGCACCGTGCCGGGGCGGCAGTACGCGCTGTCCTTCACGGTCGGCGACGCCAGCAACGCCTGCCGGGGGTCGCTCATGGTGGAGGCCTACGCGGGCCGGGAGTCCACCAAGGTGGCGTACGAGTCGGCGGGGAAGGGCGGCGTGAAGCGCGCCGTGCTGCCGTTCCGCGCCGCGTCCGCGCGCACCAGGCTCGTCTTCTTTAGCTCCTTCTACAGCACCAGGAGCGACGACCTCAGCTCGCTCTGCGGGCCCGTGCTCGACGACGTCGCCGTCGTCAGCGTGCGCACCAATAAGCGCGGCTAGAGAGCAAAAGCCCGGTGGTCGGTAGAGCTCGGGCTTGCCGCGTGCGTGCGAGAGGGAGACGGAGGAATTTTTTTCGTGCTGTTTTTATCGCACGGTTACTTGCCGTGTTTGTCAGAAAATTGATCGAGCCATGGGAAATTGTCGTGTCAGATAGCATACGCCTTCTGTTCGTTTGGGCTTGTTAAGTTTACAAGCCGTACTTTTCAGTGAATAAACAATATTTTTCTTTTAAACTAAATTAACTAATAGTGCTTTCAACCATAACTTATCAGCTAAACAAGCCCAAACAAATAAGATGATGATTTCTACTACTACTTTAAGTTTCCACATAAACAAGAATTAAAGAATGCAGTGTCCGGATTAGAGCATGAGTGAGAAATATATGAGAAAAAAATTAAACAAAATTTGGATGGAAGTTTCAGATTATTCTAGGTGCTCCGGCCACACGTCATATACGTGTTATTTCTGATGTTGGGCTAGGGCATGACCAAGGCCCTGGTCTCTAAATCTAGGCCTAGCCCTATTGGGCCTTGTATGTTTAGAGGGAAAAAAGCTCATCCTGGAAATGGAGGTCCTATCGACTAAGAAAATGGGCCTATCCCTCAGGGCGGAGAGCCCTGTAGGAGAATGGAGGCCAATCCACAAAGGAGAAAGTATAGCTACCTAACTATGGCAAAAGTTTTTTTTTCCTGAACTTAAAAACCAGACATAACTCCTCCCCCTTCTTCAACCGGACATATGACTCCCTAGCTGATTCTCTACGTGGTTTTTCTTTTTTCTTTTATATTTATTTTGGTTGAATCTTTAAAAATCATAGTAAATTATAGAAAAATCATAAAATAAAAAATCTAATTTTGTTGGACTCCGCATAAGTAGATATACACAATAAACTTATGATATGGTATGCTTTAGTACAATTTTTTTTTTCTGTAGCTTTAGATCTATACTTTTCTGTGATTAATTTATAGTTGCAGTTTATGTGGTCCAATTATGGTGAAATTTTTATGGTAGATAATCATTGTATGCTTGAGAACATACATTTTCTATTTTTTTTATGGTAGACTAAATAAATCTATAACTAAGTTATATATGATTCAATGAGTATAAAATTTTTACTACAGTTCAAGCATTTAAAAACAAGAGAACAGCAGGAGCCAGCCCGGCCTCAGCGTGGCCGCGTCATCAAAACGAATGCCGACGGTTGGATTTGGATCCAGCGGTGGCGCAATGGGCCTGGCCTCCAACGCTACAGGAGTCTCTGCGGTGCCAGTCAGAGGGCCTGCACACCTTTGCCGTTGTCGCTCGGAGATTGGCCAGCCCAGCTCGTTGTCTATTAGGGATTGGTTGACGGCTCGGTCCCAAAGCGATGGGCGCGCTGAAAAATCTACCTTTTGTCGGGCTGCTAGGCACGTCGCGCTGATCTTGAGTGGTGTGCGATGCGGACCACCTCACGCCCTTTGCCAGTATGATCCACAGTAGTAGCGACGGCGGAGGGCCCGCTGCTCAGCGTCACTTGGCGCCTGGGGGCTGCTCCTCCGCCGCGATGTAAACCTGACGCGACATGGAGTAAAGACGCCGGCGCCCCTCGGTTCCGTCTCCCCGGTCCCCTGTCGTCCTGTCGACTGCGATAGGTGAGCCGCCCGGCCTCTCCCCGTCCTCGCTTTTCCATTCGTTTTCTCGCCCGGGCGGTGCGGGCGGACGAAGCAGCGCGGCGGCGTGGCGGCCCGGCGAGGTAGACTGCCATATCTTCTCTCCTATCTCTCTCGCCCTCACACTTTTTAACACTGGTGAAGCTAAGATATCTCAACACAAACAACGGTGGCGGCAGAAGAGGAAGGTCGCCTGCGTAGAACCCGGCGGCGGTGGCTCGCCGGCTCTGGGTCATCGCCGTCGCCACTGCCTGCCAGGAGGAGCCGCCGCCGCCGCCATCTAGGAGGCCCCCTCAGGTTCGGCGGCAAGCATAACGGGAGCGGAGGCGCCGCTCCAGCCAAGGACGTGGCAGATGCGCGTTGACCCGCCCCCTCCCAGAAGCAGTGCCTACTAGATCCATTGTGAGGGGCCACGATGATGATGGCATCGGAGCTGTGGAGCACCAAGACGGAGGAGGAGGCGGCTCCGGCAAGCTCGGCCATCTTCCGATCTTGACAGGTACCCTCACTTCCGCCTCCGGTTGGTTTGATCTATCCAAAGGTTTTTTGGGGATATTTGGATTGAGTCCATATAATTCTTCAAGTTTTGAGAAACACCATTATAAATCCTCTATTCGGAGATAGGCCATTATAATTCCCATTATCCCTGAACCTTGCCATTTTGTACACATGCCATGTACTAGGGCCCACTATTAGCACCGTATGCGTACAGGGACGCAAATGAGCGTTATCTATCGGCCTCCTCCGTTAAGCAGCTCGCGTTGCTCTCACTCTTTTTCTCCCCTTCCCGTTCCCCTTTCTCAGCGATGAACCCTAGCTCGGCGATTGAAGGCGGCGGCTGGCGCGATTGAAGGAGGCAGCGGCGACGGTGCAGGCGGCGGCGGCTGGAGAACCAGAGTAGGTGGCTGGGCAAGTAAGCAGGAGGTGGCGGCTGGGGATCATAGAGGCAACCGTGCCTACACCGAAGGCGATGGAGCCCCCATAACCCCCACAGGTGCTCCGCGGCAATTGGTGGCGGCGGTGATGGAGGATGACGACAACAGGTACCTTTCTTGCACTCTTGATGTTGTTTTGTCCATCATAGTGTTGGGATTAGGGTTTGGATTAGGGTTCTATGTGCTTTGCTAGTGTAGATGTATGCTATTCTGCATATTTACAATTTCATTTGCGTTAGGTGTGAGATGTTCGCGCTAGAGGTTAAAGTGGAAGCTTTCGCTTCTAATGGCTCTGATGGGAGAAAATCATACATGAAGGGAACTATTTTTAAGTGGGATGTCGAGTTTGGGAGTTTGACACTTGAGTTGCTTCTGAGTAGTCTGTGTAAGGAGTTGAATTTATCTTCTGCTCAGAAACCTATAGTGTGGTTCTATGACAAAAGACTACATGAGGATGTTAGGTTAGCTAATGAGATTCAGATGGTTGATATGTTTGAAATGTACAAGGAGAAAAGGAGCTATCAGGTTGTAGTTGGAGTGTTTGATAAGGCAGCTTGTTTAGATGCTAAATTTGATGCACTGGAGCCACTTTGTGTGGTTCCTCCTGATGTAGAGTTAGGCAACCTTAATGCTAACATGCCCACAGAGCCTACAACCAAATGCAATGTGTCTGCTGATGACATTCCAAAGGCAGCTGCTGTAGATGTAGATGTAGTGCTTGATATGTTTCATAATGCTGAAGAATATGTTGGAGTGGATGATGAAGCTATGTATATTCCAGTGCCAACTGCACATGCAACTAGGAATACAGAGGCAGCTGATGACAATGCACAGTCTAACAATGCACATGCATCTAAAAATGCATTTGCTTCTAGTATTGATAATGATGATAATGTTGTTCCTATTGTTGATGAGGCAGAGGTTGGTGATAAAGACCCTTTGGATGTTCATGTTTTGCATGATCCTTTGAATCCAAAAATCCAGAAGAGGGAGCTATTTCCTGATATCATTGCATTCAGGAAAGCCATAAGGCATTACGCTGTCGTCAAGGGTTTTGAGTTTGCACCTGGGGTCCGAACAGACAAGACAAGGTTTATTGCGAGGTGTGCTGCTAGTGACTGCCCTTGGCGCATACATGCTTCTACCATTTTTGACAAGAAAACTGTACATGTAAGTTCATATCAACCTTATTATGCCTTGTACATGTCAATATGTGTGACTAAGTCATTGTAATGTCTTTTTCAGATCAAAGTCCTACCTGCCAAGCACAATTGTCCTACCACCAAGCTTAGAGAAGGCAAAATGGCTACCCAGGGTTGGTGTGCGGATAGACTTGGGGATTGAATTAAGAAAAACCCAACTAAGGGAGCCAAGGATGCTAGAGACAAGTTGGAGGGTGATTTTGGCATAAAGCTGAAGTACTCAAAAGCATGGTCTGGTTTACAACAAGCTCTAAACAACATTCATGGTAAGTGTGAGGAAAGCTTTCAACTCCTTTTCAATTGGGCTGCATAGATTGAACTTAGTTCTCCTGGAAGTAGAGTACAAATTGAGTTAGAGAAGGTTGGTAAAAAGAATAGGTTCAAGAGAGTATTTGTTGCTTTGAAGCCATGCAATGATGGCTTCTTAGCTGGTTGTAGACCATTCATTGGTGAAGATGCATCTTGTCTGCATGGAAAATATACTGGACAGTTAGCTTTAGCTACTGGGGTGGATGGGCACAATTGGTTGTACCATATTGCATATGAAATTTTTAACTCTAAGACTGAGGATAACTGAAAGTGGTTTTTGGAGAATTTGCACATAGTCATAGGAGACCCTCCAGGTCTGGTGTTATGCTTAGATGCTTGTAAAGGGTTAGAGAAAGCCGTGGGGGCTGTGTTCCCATAGGCAGAGAACAGAGAGTGCATGAGACACCTGTATCAAAACTTCATGAAACGCTACTCAGGGGATGTCTTTACTGAATACCTATACCCTACTGCAAGGAGCTACACAGAAGGGCTTTTCAAGTGGCATATCTAGAAAATCTATGAATTCGCTCTAGGTGCAATTGACTTTCTAGAGCTCTATCGTGGCAGAATATGGTACAGGTGTGACTTCTCAGAGGAGAGCAAGTGTGACTACTTGACAAATAATGTGTCTAAGAGTTTCAATGCTCAGATTAAGCAGTTCAAGGGACTTCATATCCATGAGCTAGTGGATAGACTCAGGGAGTTGATAATGGAGAAGAGGTACGTCAGAAAGAAGATAACACAACAGTGGGAAGAAGACATACTACCAAGTGTTATCAAGGAACTTAACCTGATAAGCAAGAATCTCAAAGTTGTCAAGGTTGCAGTAAGTGATGAAGACTTTGCAGAGGTGACTATTCTTGATGACTGGAATAACCAGAAGAGGTGCATAGTGGACTTGAAGAATCACAAGTGCTCCTGCAGGGAATGGTAGATTACTGGGAAGCCATGCAAGCATGCCTTGGCCTGGATACTATCAAATAGAGGCATCAAAATTGCAGATTATGTGCATGAGTATTACTCTGTTGCTAGATTTAGAGCTACATATGAAGGAAGAGTTGAGCCTATGCCAGATAGAACACAATGGCCTAAATTTCAGTTTGGGTTCAAAGTACATCCACCTTTGCTTGGGAGAGGAGCAGGCATGCCAAAAAAAGTAAGGATAAGGGGCTGCCTAGAGAAACAAGCCACCAAGAAGAAAGTAAGGTGCAAAAGATATGGAGGTTTTGGACACTTCTCCAAGACATGCAAGCTGGAGATGGTAGGTGAAGATGGTGAAACTGCTAGAACAAACAAAAGGTCAGCAATCATTTCCATTTAAATCTGTACTAATTTTTGCATTTCATTTTCATTTAAATATGTACTATTTTTTATTTTATTTCCATTTAAATCTATACTAACTGAAGCTGTTGTAATAGGAAGAGGCAAGATAAAGTTGACACTGCTGGCCCATCAAGAAGGCACCTAAGAAGAAGAAGACACCACTGAAGAAAAAGCAGAAGAAAGTTGCAGCTGCTCTAGCACCTAAAGTGGTTAAAAGCCTCAAGAATTTGCTGTTCTCAGTGGAATAACCTTGTTGGGGTTTGGTCATTTTGGTGGCCTGTCAAATGGTTGTCTGCTGGCTGTCGAAACGAAGTTGAGCAGTGGAAGCAGGGCCGTACCTAGGATTTGGAGGGCCTTGAACAAAATACACGATGGGGCCCTAAAACTCGAGAAAATCAAGGCATACTTTCACTTAGATTAAATCTTAATGCTAAAAGAGTAAAAAGTAGTACTCAAGTAACAAACTAGCATCCCTAGCAGCTAGCATAGTACTTACTCCGTTCCGAATTATAAGACGTTTGACTTTTTTTACCCTAAGTTTGACCACTCATCTTATTCAAAAATTTATGCAAAATATCACTTCTTTTGTCGTGGCTTGTTTTATTAATAAAAGTTCTTCAAAAATGACTTAAATTTGACTATGTTTGCATAAATTTTTTAAATAAGACGAGTGGTCAAACTTAGGGTCAAAAAAAGTCAAACGTCTTATAATTTGAGATGGAGAAAGTAGTATCGTGGCACGAGAAAGCAAAATGTGGCAAAGAGAAAAATGAACAGTCTAAGGAAGCTCAGTTGCCAAGCAGGCTGGTGGACATGGCCATTTGGGCTTACTTTGGTGAGTTGATCCAATTAACAAACCAGGAATTGCAACTTGCAAGCCTTTTTTTTGGATATGCTACATTTTTTTGTATTTAAAAGATTAGCTATTATTTATTAGTACTTATTGTAAACTAGGTAGTGTGCCCGTGCGTTGCTACGGGACAACTAAACTTTTGTACTTAAAAACACATGGATCGCACGATAAGATAACAATAATAAAATTAATACCAATGTTAAAGTTACAGTTAATCCAAAAAGCAAAGTTTGTGAAATTAACAGTCACGGAGAGCGCGGTGTCACAGGCTTACAAACTCTACTTTATAGACCTTTCCGTGATATGCCTAAGATAATGTTTTATATCGGCAGAAAAAAATCTCCGATATTCATTTTTTTCGTGCGCCAATAAATCTACGAATAAGTTCCATCGCATCTCCATACCATCCTCCGGTCGGGGCGTCATCCGGAGGCTGCATGGGGGTGGCAATGGCGGGGGAAAGGAGGGGAAGGGCGGAGGGGAGAAACTGGGAGGGAACGGCAGCGGAGGAGGGAGAGCGAAGTGCGGCGGCCGTAGTGGCGGTGGCGGGGGAAGAGGTGGGGTTTTGCGTGGCGGCAAAGATGGTGGGGGAGCAGGGGCGAGGCGGGCCAGAGCATGGCAGATTCCAGAGTTCCCATTGGTCGCCCACTCGCTCTCACCTTGCCTACCCTTTTTTCTTGCTTCATTTTCACACACAAAAAAAAACAGTATAGTTCTTTTTTAAAAAAAAATTCATAAACAATTCAGCTATTTCTCCGCTAATAAAAAGATCCGTTTCTCTACTAATAAAAACAATTCAAATACATGATAATAATACAGCAATGACGACCAAACAAGCCTATGTTATCCATATGCTCAAGGCTGCATGCATCACGCATGGTTAAACCCGAGTCAATACTAAATAATGCCTCCTGAAAGTCATGACAAAGCAGTGGCGCTTTCAGAGAGCTCCAGAAAACCCGAGGGCGACATTGGCGGCATTGCTTCTTCTGGGCGTCAACCATTTCTAGGATCTTTCTTACGGTACATCGCAACTTTTCGTGGCCACCTTCCAAATGGACCGATCAATTTGTTCCGTTTAGTTGGATGGACTCGTTTTCAAGACCCATGTTTGATGACTTTTATTTTTGGTACTGCTTTCGGCTGATATTCTTGCATTGGTAAAGACACGGATTCCTTGAGGCCACGGATGATAGCCTGCAAAGATTGGGCATAAAATGTAGCAACAATAAGAAACAACTTCCACGAGTTGAAAGCCTACAAGATTGAGATCTAGACTAACCATGGGCGCATATATACGTGTTAAGACACCCTTCCTCAAAAGTTTCAAATTGGTGTCTTTATCAGTCCAACAACATATTCCCGGTACCTAAACAAAGGTAGTCAGACCAATGTGATCTCTCTTAATTCAGACAGGATAGGGAGAAATGGTTGGTGCTTGGTACACAGAAGGCTAAGGGTGTTACCGGTTCTTCATCTCCTCCTCAGTCGCTGTTGATGCAATTATAAATGCCTACCATGACAGAGTACAAGGGAGGATTCATTAGCTCTCCCAAGTTAGTTATCCAGTTAGCTACCTATGCACAATGATACCTAATAAGAGTCATAGCAGTTTTCTTTCTTTTTTTTGGTAAAAAGACAGTTATATGGTTCTCTGGCATGGCTGGCTATACATTGTACAATGGAGAATGGACCATGGGAAACATTTATGTGATTAGTATAAGGCACACGAACAAGGTACAATATTGTGCTTGTGCAATGCCCCATCACCTCTGTATCTGATTCAGACATGACTACATCCACTCAGTATCTGATTCAGACATTTTCACAAGCATTTCCATAGTATAATAAATCATCTAGCCATTTTTCTCCCCATCTCATTCTTTATATCATATCACTTAAATGAAATAAATGTATTATTTTAACGTTTCAGCCAGGAAACAATTATGATGTTGACAAAGTGGCCTGTACCCATAGGACAACAATAGATGCTATGCAGATACAGCAAAGGGAAGAAAAGATAGCTCACCAAACGGTCAAATTCCAAGATAAAACATCGCTTCACATCTTCTTTAGTTGGCTTGCAACCACACCTATCCCTCCTTGAGGTTAGGTCTGAGAACTTTGTGTAGGTGTAATGCAGAATAGCAGCCTCCTCCAATTTAATTTCACTACAAAAGAAATATATAACTAAACCATCGAGTAGAAAGAATTATAGTTTGTTGACTGACCATTTGTTTTAGCAAAAAAAAACTCCACATATTGAGATATCTTACTTTGGAGATTTCATGTAATTATGCCATCTATGAGCACCATTTGGATGCAAATGCTCTTGAACCCTTGCAGCCGATTTCCCATTACCATAAGTAAGGAAGTAGTTTGGATCACCACGTGTTGCTTCTTTGTATAGACCAAAGTATGTATCCTTCGGAAGATGATCATAATTTTTCTTAAACATGGAAACCTGCAGGCACAAAACAATATGACTGTATAAATGATGCAAGCTATCAAACACAAACAACGATAATCAGACCATTCCAATTATTTCCTTCAATGCATTAATGAGTAGTTCTGTGCAGTGTTTGCTAAACTATAGTTTTTTCTAGACAGTGAGTCAATATATGGTTATCTACAGGTCGCACTTTGCTTCTCAAGTAAGCCAGTGGATCATCATTAGCATACAGAGCCAATTTTTTCCTTTCTTTTGCATACATGTTACAGATAACAATAGCTTCTATACCTCAGTGAAAGGATCCTTAATGTCATCACGCTCAATGCTGCTCTCCTAGAAAAAAGAAATATATACAATAATCAGATGTGAAACATGTTACCATATTCAACAAACATGTTACTTGTGTAACTCACATAATTGGGGAAGATAACCATGTCAACATTGCCAGGAACATCTAAAAGCAATCGCCTCAGGGAGTACTCTCGGGCACCAGCTGGGTGAATCAACTCATCAGTATCAAGGTGAATGATCCAATCCATCCCAGTATTCTGTGACAATCAAACAGGGGACATTCACATCAATCTCACGACTAAATACAAGGCCTTTTCAAAGTCAAAATGACTCCATAATTAGCCAAGAACTAAACTAAGAAACTCTTTTTAAGAAATCTGGGACAAAATTAAAACATTTATACAGTCATATTGTAGACAAGTAAATTAGCATATTTTCTACAGCCTGCTACTGCTAAGAAGATGGCAAACAACACGAAATTCGGGTGCTCATCAGAGGTGGACCCAGAAAAGCACCCATAATTTTTGCAAAAAAAACAAATATCAAAGTTAGTAGTAGAATTAATGCGTACATAGTCTTGTGATTAGATCAAATCGAAATACAAATTGCCAAATAGATTAAGCTAGGATTCGTCTGGTTCTCGGCTTGGCACAGCAGGAAGGGAGGAGAAAGGGTGCTTACTTCAACCATATCGCCAAGGGAGCTCGTGCTATCGGGGGATCTCGTGCCGCTGCTTGGGGGAGCTCGCGCCGCCGCCGGTGATCTCGGGCTGCTTTGTTTGGGGAGCTCACGCCGTTCTGGGGGATCTTGCGACACCGCTTGGGGAGCTCATGCCACCGGTGTTGGGGTGCTCATAGGAGCCCGACAGAGTTCGGGTGCTATGGGCAGGGCGCGGTGGCTCCGAGCACGGCAGGGAACGACACCGGCCCAGCTCTGTGTGCAGTGGAAGCGGCGGCCCGGACAACCGCTGGGGTCATCGGATCGGGGATGACGTGCGTCGGCCTCCAGACATTGGAGACGGTCATGCGGATAGTCAGTGCGCGATGGTGGCCTGGCCGTGGACCTTCAGGATGGGACCCGCCCACGTGGGGATGAGGAGGAGGGCCATCGGGGCCCGCTCAGCTTAACGCACCACCAGCGAAGTGCCGCTGCTGCCTCGCTTCGCCGCCCTTGAGCCTCGGGAGAGAGAGGGAGGGGTGGAGATCCGGGGGAGAAGAAGGGAAGGAGCATCTGTGACTTCGGCCACCAAATCCGTCCATCGTCGACGAGCCATAGTAGGCCACCGGAGCTGGAGGGCTGCTGCGCGGGTGTGGTGGGGCGTGTGGCGCTGACGAGGCGGCGCGACAGCGTGCGGGGATGGGGATGGGGATGGGGAGCAGCACGCGCCGCGGTGGCCCGTGGGATCCAGCGGGTCGCACGGTGGGTGGGGGGGCGATTATTGCGGCGTTTTAGCGATTTGCGCGTGGACGGGAGGCGGGGATCGCAGGTGTGGGTAGACAGACCAATCGAAACAAATGTCGCAAAAAAAATATCCATTCTTTATTATTTTTAGTTGTAGGAGATTTGGAGGCCCTTAAATTTTGGAGGCCTCGGACAGCTGCCCACCTTGCTCTTGTCAATCTATGGGCCTGAGTGGAAGTGACGGGACAAGGGAACGTTTCGCAAAGTGCATCCGACACCGCGGCATGGACACAGCTGGTACCGAAAGCTCATATCCCCACCCGAACTGGTGGTACCCACGGCCAGGGGCCATCATCGGACCGTGCATGGACTGGAGCTCTCGCGCTACGCCACCCACGGATCCGCCGCAACGCATCATGCACGTATGAAGCCGGCAGCCGCGGCCGCCAAGTCCACTAAAGACGACGCGCCGCGAAAGCCCGGCCATCCGGCCGCGCCGCGCACAAGACCGCGAAAGCACGAACGTACGCCAGAGACGTCCGGCCGGGCGGCGGCGGTCGCCGTTTGCCCGTTTTCACGTCAAATCGACCGATTCGGGTTCAGAAGCATGCATGCATGTTTCACCCGGCGGCCCATCGATCGGTGTCGCCCGAGTTTATTTGGGCCGCACCCGCACCCAAACCGTCCCCATCATCGCCGATTGATTTCGGCAGGAGCAGCAGGACGGACGCGGCCGCCGCAAAAACAGTTGGCCCCGGCCGGGCCGGCCGCCATCCAGGGTCTGCCATGCCTCGCGGTGGGCCGTTGCCGTGCACGGCGCGCATGGCAGCAGGCAGCAGGCAGCAGCCAGCAGACAGACATCCGCACCGGCCCCTTCTTACCCCGCGCGCGCCGCCGTGTCGGGTGTACAGCATACCTGCCTGCGCGCAGCGCGCGTACCGGCCGGCCGCGCTTAATTTGACGACGAGTGCACACACACTGCACGTCCGATGTGTTTTGTTTACGTGTGCGCGACGGGGAGCACCGGGTCGAAGGACCCGGCCACGTGGACATCCAGAGAAAACAGGACGCGTAGATGATCCATCATCATGCATCAGAGCATCGTCTCATCATAACCGTATGCACGCACGTGGCGAATTCGGCAGCCAGCGCACGTTATCTGGGCCGTGATTGCTGGTGTCACGGACCGCGGGTCTGGGTGGCAGCGGCGTGCCGGCGTGGGCGAGCCGACAGGGGCGGAGACCGCGGGGGATGGTGGCGGGGTGTGCCGCCCGTGTCCGGTCCGTGGGCTACGCGTGGGCCCGCCGCCGGTTTCCATGCGGTCCGGCATCATATTGCAGAGGAAATCAATCGCAACCCAACCATGACGCGCGCCAATCAGCCTGCCTGCCTCATAATTGCATCATCAATCAGCTAAAGTCGAGTTACTACAGTGTTCATTTTGGCTACAAGTGATCTACTCCCTCCGTTCCTCTTTACCTGGCGCGAGGATGCCCATGTATCTTCACCGCAGTCCATGTGTATTGTGGTGGGTTATACCGGAACGGGTCAGTCCAATCATGAATTATATATGGGGTGCGTTTAGTTATACCGCCGCCCAACGGGGTAGTATTTTATATTTGTAATAATTGTCTCGTAATCAAAACGTTAATTATATAAACTGGGATTTAAATTTTAGTACCGGGAGATAAACGGATATTTGAATTGGGCCTGTGACGCACGCACATTTTTGGATCAACTAATTCCTGGGTTTAAATTAACCGGGAGATAAACGGATAGAATTGGGCCTGTGACGCACGCACATTTTCTCATAATTCCATGGGAACGCGAGACTAGCTGCTAGCTACGCTGTCGACGCGGCCACGACCACGGCCACACTACTCTAATCCGGTTCAAAGTTCAAACCTGTCGAGAAAAGCTTTGCGCTCACCTCTGACGCCAAACACAGAAAGGCAAAAGGCCCCTGACACGCGAAGCTTCAACAACGTACTACGCGTAGCTTCCCACTCCCAGGGCCCCGGCCTCCTTGAGTTGAGTTTGGCATTTTGCTGTCGCGCAAGCGGCACAGCACGAGTCGGTCCGTTAGGATTAAACAACGGCGTAACCACTTTCTGATGTCTGCCTGCTTCTTCTGTGTCGTTTCACTCGTATATATATATGAAACCACTCGCTCTTGCAGTCTTGCTTTGGGCTCCACTGAACAACGCGTGATCGACGACGATCGCCATTGGATCGGGCCGTGTCCGTCTCGTTGACCCAACGGGCAAATGCGAACAAAAATGTGGTCGCAAAAGGCGATGCATCGATCGGTTCATATGTATGTGTATCGCGGACACGGAGATCGTCTGGTCGTCATGCATGGCGATGGATGGATCCATATGTTTTTGTTTTTGTTTTTTCGTATTGTAAGTGCAGGTAGGTACGACGTCAAAAAGGCATGCATGCATGCAATGATGCAACAGCCATACAATTAAGGTGTGAAAGTGCTTGGTTGAAACCTTCTTTTCCAAGTTTTTTTTTTTCAAAACTAATCGATCTTCAATAAAAAAAGTTTATGCATATCAAATGAGTTGGTGTCGTCGTCGTTTCTTGCACTGTCGATCCTTTTGGTTTGTCAATCGACGGCATTGTAGTCCGCGCGCTTGTACTTTCATACGCCTTTTCTAATCTAAAGAAACCAAATATCATATCCATCACCCAAATTAATCAATGTCTAGATATTTTGTTTCTCTCGAGCCCGGTCACTGAACGAAGACGTCTGCTGGTGGTTCAATCTTCAACGCAGAATTCGCTTGTGATTGTGATCGACGTATGAAAATAAATAAATAAATAGTATAATTCTCCAGATGGCTGTGACTGCAAATTAAGCTAGCTTCCATCGGGCCTGTACGTTTGAACTTATCAGCCGGCTTATCAGTTAGAATCTATAGTATTTTTCTCTCACAACAAATCAGCTTTAGCCGACTTTAATACCAGCCGAACAGGCCCACACTAACTGCTGTCAACATCTCTCTTTAATGACGAAGAACTAGCCCAGAATGAAGACACGAAAATAAATAAATAATTAATCAACGCCCCCGATCTGCATGAGAATTAGACTATGGTTTGGTCTTAAAGGACGTGGCGTTAGTATTATTTTCAACGATATAGATGTATGCTTGCTTTGGTCCAGTCAAACACGCCAAAATCTATACTTATTACATCAGACACGTTTGACCGTTGTCCCCCAATACTGGAAGGAAGATGTCAACCAAAGTCCATCTATCTGCTAATATATTGCGCCGGATTAAAAAAATGTCATTTTGTTTTCCAATATATTACACGCCCTGTGGGGAAATTAATTGTTTTGTAATAACAAAATAATTAGCATAAGGCCATATAAGAGCATCTCCTACAGCCTCGCTATTCCCTTCCGTGATTCTAGATTTACCGATTATGAAGGATAAAAAGCGTCCAACAGATTCTGTATATGGTTTTCCTTTTTCACCCAATACCTATCCCGGCAAAATAGCTCGGTAGAAATCCCGAGCCACCGTCCCTCGCCATGCAGTCGCATGTCTTCCTCTCCCTTGCGAATTTCCTCTTTCCCTGCGCGGCCCACTCACGTGATTGGTTGATCCCATCATTGAGATCTAAACTAATATGACGTGGCAAATTTCAAAAATAGAGAAAGGGATAGAATAAAGAATCTGTTGTGGTGCTCTACTTTTTTTGAAGAGCCAATTTTTTTAAAGAGCCTCTAAATCATGATTTTTTTAGATCTATTTTAGATAGTCTTTTGGAAGTGCTCTAAGTCGGGATACGTGGACTAAATTTTTAGCTCATCAAGTTTTTTCCCCCCTTCTCCCCCTAGAAGCCTTCTGGCCTTTCTATTTTAATTTGCCAACCTAGGTTATTTTACACTATACTTTTTAAATGCCACATTTCCGTTTTAAAGAGATAGTTTTTTTTTGTGTGACTGTTTTAAAGAGATAGCGGATCGTGTATGTATACTATATATAATACTATACTGTAATATAGGAGTACCAAAAAGTATGTCACTGCTGGCTAAATATGTATCAGTGAACTATGAACATCTAAATTACCAACATCATATATATATATATATATATATGATGGATGTGCATATACCAAGAAATCCAAAACTCAAGTCACATGACGCTTTAGCATCAATATATATACAACTGTACAAGTGGGAAAGGTGTACCAGAATTTAGCTTAAGCATTAATCATTTCTTATAAACTATAACAATGAATTCATGTGATGATTGCATAGATAACAGAAAGCGTACACCCTTTTTCTTGAAACTAAAGTGAGTATGACCAAAGAAATTATTAGCGGGATCGGACCGGCGGAGCCCCCCCCCCCCCTGATTCCATGCATGTCAAGCAACGAATCCACTGTGTGCATGTCAAGCAACGAATCCACTGTGTCCATTTCAACCGGCGGAGATTAATCCTTTTCTTCTTGTTGGGTGATGTGATAGTAGATGAGACTTTTGTGACAAAGACATTTTTTTCTACATTATATATACTCCATTTTAATACCACAAGTTAGCTAGGCATCATTACCGTATCAATGTGTGCAGCTCCACCTACGACGACACTGCATGATATACGTACGTAGGAAGTTGATCTGGGCCAGCACGTTACCGGCCTGCAGGTTTTCTCTAGGATCACTTCGAGAATATTTTTCTTAACGAAAAA